AAGGGCATTCGTTGGGACAAAAATCACACTAGGTAAGAGGGGCGGCAGGAAAATTGTGGCCTGTGGGCGTGGTGGTGATTATGCCTGAGGAGGGGGCAGTCAGGCTGGCTGGGGAACACGGTCAGTGACCAAGTAGCCAAGATACTTGGACAAGCGTGGCATGGAGGGAACAGGTTGGTTCCTCCCAGCCTTCCCCTTGCCAGTCCTTGTCCTTACCCTGTAGACAGGCAGCGATGGCATAGTCCATGGCCCAGCTAACCAGAGCCATGAGGAGCCCCAGCAAGACCAGGAAGATCCAGTCTTCACCAACCCTGGACACTAGGAACTTATGGCAGCGTACGGAACAGACTGTGAGCAGGGAAGGGAAGAATGGGCAGGCTAGCACCAAAGTGATCCTACTTCTGCGCCCCCCCTCCCCCCAAAACCTCCAACTTCCCAGTGGGCAGCTCTATGGCCCCTGTCAACGCAGCACAGCACAGCCAGGTCTCCTGCCCCAACCCAGGTCTCACTGCGGCATCGGGCACAACGGCTTTGTCCATATTCCAGGAGCTCCGGGGGAGCCCGAGAAGAAGGTGGACCCCTCCAGGTCTCAGGCCCTCCCAGGCGAATCCGAGCAGCTTCCTCTTTGGCGAAGGCCCCAAGGTCCTGAGTATAGCGGCCATACATCTGAGCAATAGAGATGATGGGGGCATTAGTAGATGTGGGCGGAGTGGGGGCCACTGCACTAACTCCCCTTCTCCCAGCCTACACATTCTATGCCTCCTCTTGAATCCACAGTCCCCACTTGGGCTTGGGGTGTGGAAACAATGCACACTGCAGACTGTGGGGGCTGTCCTGGCCGGAGGGGACAGGGACAGCTGAGGTACAGGGCACAGTGCTGAGGGTAGCAGAATAATCAGTCCTCTTCTCCCAGGCCTGCCGGGGAGCATGGAGGAGGAGTGGGAGGGAAGGCCCCAGAGGAGGAAAAGATGGAAAAACCTAGGCAGTCCGAAAGTGGGAGGAGGGAAGGTCAGAGAATAAGGATGTTCAAGGACAGAAGGGTAACAATGAGGGCCTCAGGGAACTGGGGGTAGCTGAGTCGGGCCTAGGAGCAGGCGGGGCCTCAATCCTTATCACGTTCCTGCTGGGCCTCTAGCCTGTGACCAACTCAGCTGCACCCTTCCCACCCACCCTAATCCCCTTGTCCCTATTCTCCAGTGCCTGCCCCCGCCCCACCAGCCTGCCAGCCCAGCTGGGAGTGGACAAGTCTCTGGGTGGGTGGAGAGCGCTTGGTGGCCTCAGCCCCACTCTGCAGCTGCCCCAAGCCCAGTGGTGGGTTGGGGGCCGGCAGAGGCTGATGGCCAGGCTGTGACTTGTTGGGGTGAGAGTCGGGAGAGTCGCTGCCGAGACCTGCCAAGCTGGGCGTGTGTTGGGGGGTGGGGAGGAGTAGATTCCGGCTGCCACCCGCAGAGCTTCGGGACACAAAGGGCTCCTGTTGGGGCTGGGGTTGGTGTGGGGGGGGGCGGTAGGGAGGGAGAGATAGAGACAGACAGAGAGAGAGAGAGAGAGAGAGAGAGAGAGAGAGAGAGAAAGAGCCAGACAGAGGAGAAAGGGAGAAAAGTGAGGCCAGAGGAAGGGGCAGAGAAGAGAAAGGAGGAGAGGAGAGGGCAAGAAGGAAGGAGGAAAAGAGAGAAAGAAAGTAGAATACAAAGAGGCGGACACGGTGCAGGAGGGGGAGGTGAGTGGGCGGGAGAAAGACAAAGGGATTAGAAGGAGAAGGGGGAGAGGCTGGAGCAGAGCATGTTCAAGAGAGAGCGTGACCCTGAGGATCCGTTCCAGAGATAGAGACCAGGCGAAGGAGGTGGAGATGTGGCTGGTGCAACAGATACACACCATTTCAGAGGTCAGGTGCCTGGCTTCTTTGACTAAAGCCCCATTCCCAGCCAGTGCAGATTGATAGACACCTCCCCCCTACCCAAAGACTTGTCCCCCACTTCTTGCCCCACCCCCACCCTTACCACCTGTCTCTCATCCTTTCATCCTCTTATAATGGGGCACCTCCCAGCCCCAGCCACAGCCCAGGACCCCTCCTCTTGGAGATGTTCCCTCCCTGCCTCCTTCCTGGACAAATTCCAACCCAAGCTGGTAAAAAGGAGCCACAGGGCCCATTCCCTTTCCTAGAGTTTGGGTCCTCTGCCCAGTGACACAAGAAGGGGCAAAATGTTTCTCGAACACTAAGTTACAGTGGTGGTCATGAGTCAGCTCAAAACCCCAGGACCCCTGCTTCTAGTGAGGTCAAGGGACACCCCTGAGGTGGGTGGGGGCTGGATACCCAGAGTCAGCATGGACAAAGGTCCCAATTTCCACACCCATTCCTTGCTTGACACATCCTCCAGAAAGCTCCTGTATCCTAGGGTGGCAGGCCGCCTTTCCCCCCCAGAGAATCCCTAAGGGTCCCTGCCAAGGCCGGGTTGCCAGCTCCCCAGGGGTCAGGGCTGGGGGTGAATTTGGGTCTGAACATCTTTCCACACACTCTTGTTTCTACCTACAGCGTAGTGCCACGCACTTAGTGGGGGCAGAGGGAATGTCTAGGGTGGTGAAGATGGAAGGGAAGAGAGAAGTTCAAGGGTGCGAGTGGTGCTGGGGAGGGGTAGTGGGGTGCTAAGACCTCAACCCAGGTGCGAAAGGGGAGGAGCAAAGAAAATGTGTTTCTGTGGGGGTGGTGAAGGGAAGGACACCTGGGATAAGCACCTGATGTCCTCGTTCCGCAGGCCCCCCCGCCCCAGCTGGATGCAGCTTTCCACCCTTTAGCCCTCCAGCCTCTCAGGCCCCCGAGCCTCGGTTTCCCCGGCTCAGAGGCCGGGGCGGGCTGAGGGCAGGCCCCCGGCGCCGCGCTTCCAAGGTAAACCGGAGCAGCGGTCCCGGAGCGTCGTGCGAGGGCTCGCCCGGGCTTACCAGGGTCTGCTCGTACTGCAGCGCCCGCGGCTCCATCCCTTCCGCCGCCGCCGCCGCGGCCCCAGCGGCCGCCATCTCCGCCTACAGCCCTCCGGCCTCCCGCAGCGGCTCGGGCTCGGGCTCGGGCTCGGGCTCGTCCCCGGCCCGCTGAGCCCGCGCCGGCACCCGTCCCGTCCCTGCCGCCCGGGCGGCCGAGTGCAGAGTGCGGCGGGACCCGGGCGGGCGCTGCTGGCTCAGCCTCCCGCTCGCGTTCCCTCCTCGGCGGGCGGGCCGGGGGCGGTGCCCTCCGTGCCGCTCCGCCCGCCCGCCCATCCGCAGGGGCCGGCCCAGCCGGGCGGGGGTCTGCGTTGGAGCGGCCTCCGGGGCACCCGGGAGGCGGCAGGGGGCGCTTGGAACGTGCTAGGCTGCGCCCCCTCGGCGCAGAGGCCCGGGACGGAGAGGGGCGCCGGGGGCGGAGGGGGGCGGGCCCGCTGGCACGTGGATGGGCCGGGCCCGGCCGGTGGCGCCCAGTGCCGGGGCGGGAGGGGCAGGAGGGGCTGGGCTCGGGGCCTGGGGCTCGGGAGGGCCTGGGGCCCGGGGCGGCAAAGCCGTCTAAATCACACCCTTTGGGCTCAATCTCTCAGGAGTGACGCCTTCTCTTGCTTCTCGGGGGGGCGAGGGCGGGGGGGAACAGAGGCTCAGACGGGCCTCGCAAGGCCCCTCTCTGCTCCGTCGAGGGTGAGAAGCAAAGCTGGAGGGACTCGGAGGGGGACGCTAGGCCCAGAAGGCGGGGGTGAGGCGGTGATGCTCGGAACTGAGACCCTCCGTGTCCCTCAGCCTCTTCCCTCCTCCTCTTCTCCAGGGTTCCTCTTCTAGGAAGTCACACCTGGAGCAACCTGGCCTGCCGGGTGTACAGGGGTGGAGACAGGGAGGGAAGGTGAAGGGGTGACGCCCGAGGGGAGAGATGTCTAGGTGCTGGCGAGGAGGCTCCTGGAAGGCGGGCGTGGGGGTACAGAGGTCGTTTTTCCCTGGCTGGGCCCAAGGAGAAACTCGAGTAGCTGCTGACGTCTCGCCACCTGGGGATCTGTGTTCTCTATCAGGGTCTGGAGAAGGATGGAGCAGAGGGTGGGGTGGGCACAGGGTGGATGGACAATGTATGAGAGGGCGTGTTAGGGGAGAGGCCGGTGCCCAGGAAACCGGCAGTGTGCGGGAGGACGCAGTACCAGGATGGAGGGGCATGCGGGAGGCAGAGGCGGTGCCCGGGAAGGGGGCGGTGTGAGAGGAGCAGCACCCAAGAGGAGGGGGGAGCTCGTATCTGTGGGAGCGCACGGTGCCAGCCTGAAGGGGCACGTAGATCAGCGCCAGAGGGAGAAGGCGGGGGTGGGGGAACAGGTAGTACCGAGCTGCAGGGGCAGCGCTGTGTGATGAGCTGAAGAGGCGGAGTGGAAGAGAGTGGGGCCCCGAGTGGGGCCCCGGGGAAGAGGGCAGTGGTAGGGAGGGTGCTGGACCAGGGGAAGGGACGAGCGCAGGCTTTCCTCTTCCCCATAGTGACATCATGGCAAATTCCCAAACGGGACGGAGCCGGCTCGGGTGACATCCAGCAGGGCCAAGCCGGTCCAGCCCGGTCCAGCCCGGTCCAGCCCGGGCCCGGCTAGGAAGCCTCGGTGCCAGCTGTGGGGACTGGGCCCTGCGCCCTGCAGGGTCAGCGCGCTGGGGGCGGAGTTCCGCCCCGTCCGCCCTCCGCCCTCCGCGTGGACTGTGCCCTCGGCGGGCACGCAGACCAGCAGGGGAAGGTTTGCGCCGGGCTTCTCCGGGCCAAGGATCAAGGTCCCGGGCTGGGGTAGGCCCGCCCGCATTCCAGGCGTCCCGACCCGGCCTCTCAAGAGGGCGCAGTGGAGCCTCCGCGTACTGCGAGACGCCGCGCCGCCTCGGCTGGAGGTGGAACTAACCGGGTCCCCGCCCCGGGGCGGAGCCATCCGGCCCCGAGTCCCGCCCCCAACTCGCGAGGCCTCTCGGAAGGAGTCTTTCGGGGCGGAAGTTCGGGAGCCCCGAGGGCCGGGCGGCGGAAGTGGCGGCGGCGCTGCCGGCCCGCGCGCATGCGTGTTTCCAGGGCTCTGCGGCCGCTCTCTGGGCGCGCGCTCTCCTTCTCTGCTGAGCTCCGCGCGAGGGGGAGCGCGGACCCCTAGGCGTGGTCGCGCTCCCGGCCCCTCTCGTACTCTCGTGGCCACCTCACCATGGCGGGCATCCTGTTTGAGGATATTTTCGATGTGAAAGACATTGACCCGGAGGGCAAGAAGTTTGACCGAGGTAAGGTGGAGGTAGACGCAGGGGCGGCCGAGTCAGGGGGCTAACCTCCTCGGGGACACGCCTGTGGGCCCCTGGTCCACCCACGCCGCGTGGCCCGCCCCTGCCGGCAGTTCCTGACTCAGGAATCCCCATCAGGAGACCTTGGATCGATGGGAACACGGCGTCTCCCGAACTCCGCCTGGCTCCACACAGGCTGCGCCCGGTGCCTGGGTGGCCCGTTCTCATGGTGCTGGTGCACTGCTGTGCATCTTCCAGTCGCTCCCCACTCTGCTGGGCGCTGTAGCGTGCACCTTACACACACTTCGTCCTGCCCAGTTCTCTCAGGAGCCTCCATGAAGTAGTTGGTGTCTTACCCATTTTGCCCCGAGAAGTTAAGTAAGCTACCTAGGGCTGCACAGTGACTAATCCGACTTCAGAGCCTGTATTCTTGTATTGTCCTGAGAATCTCTAGCCCTTTGTGACATCCTCTCTGAATTAGGATTGCTGCTTGCCATACAGCTCTTTATTCTGCCACTGATCAGACTGGGCCTCCTTGGGGGGGTCTCTTTTTTTTTGTCCAGAGACTGAGATGTTCTTCAAGACAAACACCAGGTCTTTTTTTTTTTTTTTTTTTTTTTTTTAATTTATGATAGTCACACAGAATGAGAGAGAGAGGCAGAGACACAGGCAGAGGGAGAAGCAGGCTCCATGCACCGGGAGCCCGACGTGGGATTTGATCCTGGGTCTCCAGGATCGCGCCCTGGGCCAAAGGCAGGCGCTAAACCGCTGCGCCACCCAGGGATCCCCAAACACCAGGTCTTAACAGTCCTGATGGTCCACTCAGCACAGCAGCTGGCACAGAAAGACAAAACTTTTTTTTTTTAAGATTTATTTATTTGATAGAGAAAGCAGAGTGAGAGAGCATATGAGTGAGGAGGAGGGGCAGAGAGAGAGAGAGAAGCAGACTCCCTGCTTGAGCAAGGAGCCGGATACGGGGCTGCATCCCAGGACCCCGGATCACGACCTGGACTGAAGGCAGATAACCAACTGAGCCACCCAGGCGCCCCAAGACAAAACCTTTAGGGGGATCCCTGGGTGGCTCAGCGGTTGAGCACCTGCCTTTGGCCCAGGGTGTGATCCTGGAGTCCCAAGTCGGGCTCCCTGCAGGGAGCCTGCTTCTCCCTCTGCCTGTGTCTCTGTGTCTCTGTGTCTCTCATGAATAAATAAATAAAATCTTTATAAAAAAAAAAAAAGACAAAACCTTTGGATGAATGAATAACTTGTCTAAAGTCAGGTTGTTTCTTAATCACCTAGGCAGGCCTAGAACCTGGATATTATTTATTGCCAGAGGGACCTTTGGTTGTTTTCTGGGATTCTGTCCACTTGCCATAGTTTTCACTCCTTTCCTTCTGGCGTATCTGGTTCTCATTGAGTCTGCACTTCTTTGAGAGCAGATGAGAGGCTAGTGGATGCAGATGGGGTTCGAATGAGTGCTCAATTGCATGTAATCCCCCAAAGTGGGGTCTGCGGGGTCTGCAGAGCCTGGCAATTACCTATGCCACTCTTTCTCTACCTCCCTCCAGTGTCTCGGCTACATTGTGAGAGTGAATCTTTCAAAATGGACCTGATCTTAGATGTAAACATTCAGATTTACCCTGTAGACTTGGGTAAGTATTGAACACAGACAGTAGCAGAAGACTTTTTGACATTTCAGCTGTTCTTTAGCCTCCGGTATTGCCATGATTTTCAGGTGACAAGTTCCGGTTGGTCATAGCCAGTACATTATATGAAGATGGTACCCTGGATGACGGTGAATACAACCCCACAGATGATAGGCCTTCCAGGTGAGGAAGTGAAGTACTTCCCTCCCAGGAAAGGAGTACTTGAAATATGCTTGAGGACTAAGTAGATAAGTGGTATAGAAAAAAACCCTTATTTAATTTGTGGAATAAATGATTATCAGTAGTATCTGAGCAACCTTAAGGAAATTGCTGCACTTAAGAATTTAGTGGGGATCCCCGGGTGGCTCAGCGGTTTAAGCGCCTGCCTTCGGCCCAGGGCATGATCCTGGAGTCCTGGGATTGAGTCCCTGTCGGGCTCCCTGCATGGAGCCTGCTTCTCCCTCTGCTTCTCCTTCTGCCTGTGTCTCTGCCTCTCTCTCTCTCTCTCTCTCTCTCTCTCTCTCTTTCTCTCTCTCTCTGTCTCTCATGAATAAATAAATAAAATCTTAAAAAAAAATTCGAACAACCAGATGTTTTTGCAGGGCAGCGATTACATGCTTGTGGGTTGTGCCTTATCGATGGCTAAGGAGATGACCATCGAGTGACTCAGGCTATGTGAGCCTTGCGTCTTGGGAGAGAGTTTGGTATGATGGAAGGGCTTTGGAGCTCTACTGAGTTCAAATCAGCCCAACCAGTTCTTTGTTGAATGGCTTTAACCTCTTGCAGCCTCAGTTTCCCCATCAGTAAAGTGCAGATGATCACACCTTGCTCATATGGTTGCTGGGAGGACTAAATGGCATTGTGTTTGGAAAACGTCTGTTAGAATGGTGACACTTACTTACCAGTTAACCATTTTTAAAGAGCTTCTTACTTTTGTTTACTACTTTGAAGAATAACCTTGCTCCTACTGTTCCACAGGGCTGACCAGTTTGAGTATGTAATGTATGGGAAAGTATACAGAATTGAGGGCGACGAAACTTCTACTGAAGCAGCAACGCGTCTGTAAGTTCCATAGTCTTGTGAGAACCCTTGTCCCCCAGCCCTATTCTGATAATCTGAGCTCCGCTCTGAAAATTTGGGCCATGCGTCATGTTTCCTGGGTTGGGTCTCTCCCCAAGCACCTCAGACCTAGGTAGGACTTAGAAGGAAATTGTCTGTTCTGGAACAGTTTCCAATCCGAAATGTAGGCTGCTCGCTTGGCCCTTTGTCAGGACCTCAGGGCTCAGGGGTCCAAATGAGAAACTGATGATCTTGATATGGGAAGTGCAAAGGAAGGTTGCTTCCCCAGGAACTAAATGCAGCATTAAGTGATTAAACTGCTAGGTTTTTTGGTATTTGTTTATTTGTGTGTGTGTTTCGCCACTCTGTAATCCAATCCCTAGTTCTTTGGTTTCCTTGCCCAACTATTCTTTTCTTTAAAATTTTATTAAAACAGTATGTGCCCTTTGTAAGAAATTGGAAAAGCAGAGAAGTAATCTGAAGAAGCAAGAAAAGTCACCTATAATTCTATACCCATTGGGAACCTTTTACACAAACATTTTTGAATATTCTAGGTTTTTTCCTGTGTACTTTTTTCCTTGAGATCACGTTGTTTGTTACAATGTTTTCTTCTGCTCATTTGCCTTCAAGTTATATAAAACAGGTTTCCATGTGTCAGTTTAAAGCTTTTCTTAAACAATTTAATAGCTGCATAACATTCCAGTAAATGGATATACCTTAATTCGTTTGACCATTTCTGTTATTTTGGGCATGTAGCATTTTCCACTTTTATTGATAAAAAGAACACTACTTTGCACATATCTGTGCATTCATCTTTGTCTGAATTTTGGTTCCTAATGACAAAACGCTAGAAGGGTGCCTCTTTTTCGTAAGCTGGGATGGAGAGCGACTGGGTTGCTGCTGCTCCAGAGCTTAAACTCATGGGACTTCCATTTCAGCTCTGCCTATGTGTCCTATGGTGGCCTGCTCATGAGGCTGCAGGGTGATGCCAACAACCTGCATGGATTTGAAGTGGATTCCAGAGTTTATCTGCTGATGAAGAAACTGGCATTCTGAAGCACCCAGGAAGCCAACCTTGCTGTTCAGTCACTCAGACCTTGGACATCCTTTCGAGCCTGAGGAGCAGTTACTGTTGACCACCTGGTCAGAAAGGGCTGGCTGACTGTTCTCTGGGGGTACATCTTTAGGTGATCTGGACTCAATGGGAAACTTGCCTGTGAAAGACCCAGTGGGAGAGCTTAAAACGAATCAGAAGTTGTTTTGTGTATATGATTTTTTAATTAAACTTTGCTTTTTCAGACTCTTCTCCACCTTTAAAAAAAAATATTTTCCATTACCCTAAAATCATTTTTTTTTTTTTTCCAATTTGCCTGTGGTGTATTGTTTCTGGCCCACAGCCAGGTGATCACATGTCAATGTAGAATCTATTCTGGCTTCCTGGTATTCTGGCTGGGTTTAGGGTTGTCTCAGCCTCCTGGTTTACTATCCCCAATATTTATCCTCCAATGTGATTTTCTATCTGGGAGAGAGAGTACTGTGCTTTTGGCTCTTGAGGGCACCCCAGCCCCGGAAGATACCACCCGTTTGGCATAGAATTTTGAATTGGCAAGGAGCCCCGCTTCTGTCCTTGCAACACTTCCAGTCTCTTAGGAAGTCAGATCACGTTGATTTGAATGAGTCACTTGCATAGCCTGGAAATGTTCGTCATTTTTGTGGAAGCTTTGGATGGAGGCTTTTAGATCCTGGCTTGGGATGCTACTATGAAGAGAATAGGAAGAGCAGATTTGGTGGGTATAGGAACAGGTGGAGGAGCTAGGTGTCTGTTCTACATTTCATAGGTGACCTGGAGGGAGGGTAAATGGTGGGGGTTCTTACCAGTGATGCTGAACAGGCGGCTGCTGCACAGACCAGTGAAGTGGACAGGGCAGCAATACCAATGAGGTTGGCAGTCCGATGCCAGTACCCAGGACAATGGAGCAGCCTGATTACAGTCACTAACTTATAACTGGGCAAGAACAAAATTGCGGAAGTGGTGATGCCTACTAGCACTCCAGCATATGAACTGGCTCTCCAGCCTGGCTTTTGAGGTCTCTGAGAAAGTATACTGGACTCTAAGTTCCCCTGGGAAATTCAGGGTGGCAATCCAGAAAGATTTTGAATGTGTATTAAGCAGTTTTCTCTTTGAGAATGTGTATTAAGCAGTTTTCTCTTTTGATCTCCTGACTTTGCCTTGGGGGCCTGTCCCCCTGCTGGGATGCCCGGGGATATTTCCTTCCCCATCATTTTCAGGTCTTTACATGAGGTGTTAGAAACAGTATTTAGGGAAATGGGTTGAAAATGAATGATCTCTACAGGGGGGGAGGAAAAGGTGTTTCTTTGGTTTACTATGTGGGAGGGGAATAGAAGAAGCAGTGGGGGTTGGGATGAATTTTTATGGAATCCTAGGACTTTTACATGGAGTCAGATTTTTGGGGTGTTGGAGAAAGATGGATTTAGGTTAGAGTCAGAGAACCTAATTACCAGTGGTAGTTTGTGGGGTAGCATAGGACGCTATCCTGGCTGCCCCGGGGTAGCAGAAGAGAGAACTGGCATGCAGTTGAGTAGAGAGAAGAGTGTTCTGGTTTTAACAGTCTTGCTTTTTGTGTAAAGGGAAGAAGGGATAGAATCAGCCTGAGGAAGTTTGGGGAAGGGTTAAATTCTCAATAGGGACTGATTAGTTCTCACTGGAGAAGCCCATGAGTTAACTTGCATTTGCCCTAAAGTGAGTCAAGTGCCAATACAGGATGCCTGGAACTTACTGGCCATATACTTATTACAGTTTTGCTGTCCTTATCTCTCATCTGACTGCTGAGAACCCTGAAAGCCTTTCCTTTTGGTCCCTTTGGCATATCTTGTTCTGGGTGCTAACTCTTTCATGTGCCATAAAGTTCTTCATTTGATCATTACGTTTAGCTTAGTTTAGTATTTCAGTAAATTAAAATTTCCACTTAAAGTTCCCTTGACCGGGTGCTGGAATTTATAGTGTGGAAGAACTATACTCTCTCATGCAAAAACTGACACCCTCTGAGATTTGAACTTTTGAGCTTTGTGCATTTGTCGATTCCTTCTCCATGGCAACTGTTCTGCCATGATGGGAGAGAAGGACACCTGGAGATGTCTGAATTGGTCACCCTCGTCCACGAGCTTTGGTTTTCTTTCTTTCTTTTTTTTTTTTTTTTGTTGAGTTTTGGTTTTCTACTCAGAACTCTAATTGTTGGTGTATTTCCTCCCTCAGGACTTGGACATCTTTTCTAATATGTAGAATTACTGAGTGATCTATTGCACAGTGCACCACACTGGGGACAGTACAAGCTCTAGTCAGCCCAGGCTGTTTCTTTTCTTGCTCACCGGCTGTGAGCATTGAGAATGTGTCTGGCTTCTCTCAGACTGGTATCATCCCAACCTGGTAGAGGTGTGTGAGTGCTCTAAAAGGTAATCTGCAGGAGGTTCCTGGCACACTGGCTTTCATTCTTCTATTTTGGGATACCTTTAGTAATCCTGGGGTATTTGTGGCAGTGTTTGAAACTCTGGGATCCCAGCTCTTTTACCCTCGTGGTAGTTTTTCTCTCCTTTGGGAAGGTGGGGAGGGAAGAGGAAAAAACCTTCTGTTAGTTTTCCTACAGGAGCATCTGGAGGTAGGGTTGACCTTTGCAATGGAGTTTTTGCTTGGGGGCAATTTAAACCTATCCCTAAGCACCATGGAGGCATTTATTTGCAGAGACCCAAGACCTGTAAGGCTGGCTTCTTCTCTAGAGAATCCTTAGCAGAGTTCATGGTGGTCACAAAGGGCTACATCTTAGATACTGTGGACTTCTGGGAATTGGGAAATGAGCCTTCAACTTGTACTTGTCCCTCCCGCTGTGTGAGCCCTAGGAGACTGGCTCTTGCTGCTTCCTGCACTTCCCCCTGACCTCCACAGGAGGGAGGCAGGAACCCGTGCCTGGTGAAGCTTCCTGCTGAGCTGCTGAAGCTCTTGCTGTTTGCTCAGCTGTCACATCCAGGTTTTGTCTTGACTGAACTGTCTGCACAGCCTTACCTGGGGTGTGAGGCTCTCTGAGGCTTCCTGTTAACTTTTTTGGAGGGGAGGGAAGGGGGAGATCTATTGCCCCCTGAAGAACATCTTTCCCTTGCTTTTCAGTTACCTTCCGGGTGTTCTTATTTATTCTTTATTTATACAGGTTCAGTTTTGTTGATTGTGTAGAGACAGCTTTTCTGAGAAACAACTTTTCATTCATTTTTCAAGAGTAAAATTCTCCTAAGGAAAGGAGATCAGAGTCCCACTGACTGAACACGATAGTAAAGGGAATAAAGAGACTGACCTTAGTTCTGAGTAGAAAACCAAAGCTCTTTTTTCCCTGTTTTCTGCCATTAAGGTTAGTCTCTGCCTCTGTTCAGAAGCTAGGCTGGTCTAGCCCTTTGCAGAATTATCATAGGAAAAAGAGCATGTAGAGAATTAGTAAGCTGTAAATTTGTGCAGAAAATAGACCAAAGATAACTAGCTGCTCTGGTGAATATTATTGATAGCTTAAAAAAAAAATAGCTTCTGAAGTTTTACAATATACAGTGAAAAATCCCCTTTTCTGTCCCGTGTATCCCCCTTTAGCAGGGCTTTGGGTTTCAGGTGAAAGCAGGAAATCTGGTATAACTTGACTCCCAGGGCCTCCCCTCCTGGAAAGGGAACTTTACAATGGAGACAGTGCTGATGGTGGCAGGGCTAGAGTACCTTACTCCTCCTGAGACAGATTCTGGAAGTGAGGGTGGGCTGCAATTAGAAGAGGACTGGTAGAGTTGGCTGTGGCGGAGGGGTCAGGAGGTGGAGGTTGGAGTGGGCTCTGGGGGATGGGCGAGGTGGGTAAAGGGGAGAAGAGTGTGTATTGCCCAGGAGGAGGATGGACTGGGAAAGGAGAGTATCTGGGCCAGAGGTTGGGTGGCAGGGCATCCATATCTGAAGTTCCTGGAGGGATGTCTGGGGCTCCTAGGGCCGTGAGTGAGAGTCCAGGAAGGAGTCCATGAGTTCCATTCAAGGGTCCATGTGTCCTGCTCAGGTGTCCAGGGGTTTGGTTTAGGGACCTGGAGGTTTGGTTCAGCAGACCAGGAATCTTGGCTCTGAATCCCTGCAGCCTCTTCAGAAGTCCAGAGCCAGTAGTTCTGGCTGAGATGCTGGAGTTTGTCTCCAACAATCCAGAAGTCCTGTTTGGGAGCTTGCGCAGTGTGAGGAATAGGGAGGTATTGCTTGGGACAGCTGTAGTGGGTTGGCTCTGCTTGGCACAGAGGGTGGGCCCTGCTACAAGCAGCAGGAAGCGCACCTTTCCTCGGAGCAGTTGTTGGAAGCTCAGGAATATGGCATTGGGATCCTTGTGAGTTGTGGTCCTGCCCTGTGGAGGAAGCTGAGGGCAGAGGATGGGCCTGAGGCCAGAGACCTGGGCCAGATATCATGCTCCCACATCTCCAGGGAAAGATAAGGCACCAGCACCCAGACTTTATGGCTGGGAGAGAGCACTCCTTAGTTGGTCACCTGTGCTACTACCCTCATGATTCCCATAATTCTCCTTTCTTCCCTCAGGTCTTCTAAAGGGACTGAGTCAGCAAAGGACAGTTTCTGAATAGTCCTGTTGACTCAGGACTTACCTGGGTTCCAAGGAGGCCCTGCAGGGCCCCAAGGAGGAGGCGGACCTGTCTAGAAAGCTGTCCCAGAAGGGAAGAGAGGCAGGAGGGTCCCAGTTGTCCCTGCGCTGCCAGGACGCCATCCAGGAGAAGGGCTACGGCTCCCAAAACGTCCTGTGCCTTGGTCTGCTCCTGCAAAAGAGATGGAAGGGAGAAGCGGCCTGCTTCAAAGGGCATGCTAATAACGGGTGGGGAGCCCAGAGGAGTAGCCAGTGGAATGAATCATAGGAGCTGAGAATTGGACAGGACCAAGGTCCCACCCAGCACAGGAATTCCTTCACAGTCTCCCGACAATTGGTCATCGGCCTCTGCTTGAACAACTCCAGTGTCCGGTAACCCAGCCTGGTCTTACACTTAATTTCAGTCAGAAGAGTTCTTTCTCCTCCTTACCCTATGCTGAAATCTGTGCTACCTCTCATTTCCAGTGCTGCCAGTCTACCTTTCTGCAACAAAATCTTAGGATCGTAGGATTTTTAAAAATTTAACGTAGAGATGAGACCATCAGAGAGATCATAAAGATGATGAAGAGAGGCTTCCTGATAAATGGCAGAGTTGGCACTGCAAGGGATCCCTAGGAACTGCCCTTTGTCCCTGGCCCAGTTCTCCTAGAAGACCTGAGGGGAAAAAGGGGGATTCTAGGGATCTTGAGGGGAGAAGAGCTGACCTCCCAGGAGGTTTCCTGAGCCTCAGACTAAAGCACTTCCACCTATACCACAAGACTATCACTTTCATCCAAACTAATCCGAACTAATCAGATGGGCTTTTTTTTTTTTTTTTTTTTTTTTGCCATTCGTCACATAACATGTTTTCTATCCTCTCACTGTACTCCTTCAGTACTGTTAAGTGCAGGCCACTTAGAGAAAGGTTGTTTTTTTTTTTTTTTTTTTTTTTTTTAGAGAAAAATTTTTTAGGAATATTTCCACGAGGTGGTTGCTAAACATCTAAAGCCACCTAGAATCACTAGCTTTTATTATTTATTTATTTTTTAAAAAGATTTTATTTATTCATGAGAGACACATACACACACAGAGGCAGAGACATAGGCAGAGGGAGAAGCAAGCTCCATGCAGGGAGCCCGATGTGGGAGTTGATCCTGGGACTCCAGGATCATGCCCTGAGCCGAAGGCAGACGCTCAACTCCTGAGCCACCTAGGTGTCCCTAGAATCACTAGCTTTTAAAATAGCTGCTTTAATAGTGTGACATGCTAAGTTTGAGGTCAACTCAATCCTCCCAAATCTTTTTCCAGTTCTAGGCCCACAAGCTTACATAAGGGAAGTGGGAGCATTGTGGCTTGAAAGCTGGAATAGGACTTTACTCGATTACTTTGAGTAAATGTAGAATTTTTTGTATCTCTGTTAAATTTTACTTTGTTTTTGATATAGCCTTTCAGCAATTTTTTAAATTAATTAATTAATTTATTTTAATTTATTTATTTTTATGATAGTCAGAGAGAGAGAGAGAGGCAGAGACACAGGCAGAGGGAGAAGCAGGCTCCATGCACCGGGAGCCCGATATGGGATTCGATCCCGGGTCTCCAGGATCGCGCCCTGGGCCAAAGGCAGGCGCCAAACCGCTGCGCCACTCAGGGATCCCGCCTTTCAGCAATTTGAATCTCGATCCTGTCTTTTGTTATTTTAGCTGTGCTTCCCAGTTTTGTGTCATCTGAGGATGACAGATCAGTCTTACTTCTTCATGCCAACTTAAGGACCTTGCACAGGAATAGGTCAATGGCATGGCCATGGGAGACTTCCATGTGGCTTTTCTTGGTGGTCAGCTTTGAATATACTGGGACAGCAAGCCATCTTGTCTAGAGGATATCATCACAGCAGAATGTAGATTGGGTTAGGGTTGCCATGCAGAAGAGGAGATATTTTTAGGGAGCTCAGGAATTTTGAAGAATCCATGGAAAGTAGGAGGAAACTGATGAAGACAGGATTTAGGGAGGCCAAGGAAGCGATGGCTTACTTACCTTCTGGGTTTTCCATTCTCCCAAACTAAAGTCCACAGCAGGCAGCAGGACAGGTGTGGACAAAGGGTAAACTTCTGGACACTGGCTCTATTGAAAAAGATGGGTGGTGGGGTGGGTGGGGTGGAGAAGGGATCTCAAAGAGGAGGGGAGGGTATGGTGACCCACTGACCAGGATAGGCTTGTATACCCAGACTAGAGCTTTTAAAAGTGGACTTGATTATGATTGTAAATCATAATCCTTGTCAAGGAGTGGTGATGGGGAGGTGGACAATATGGGAAGAACAGTGATTGGGCCAGGGAATGAGAGGAAGTGATGGGAGAAAGGGTATCTAACCAGTTAATGGATAGAGGGTAGAGTGCCAGGAGATTCTCACCAATCTGCTGTGAAGGACATGGGAGTCACGAAGCATTTTATTTAGGAGACGGGGGTCACAGGCAGGAGGAGCTGGGAGGCATGGATCCAGTCTTGCAGTTAGGAGAAGCATGACCACGAGGAGCAGCTCTTAGGTGAGGAGAAGTGAGGTTGAAAGAGTGGATAAGGAAGAAATCATTGTCAGGTGCTAGTCTAGGAATTCCCATTTAGGACCCAGACCTGAAATCCAGGGAATTTGCCTTTCAGAAGCCTTATTCCTGGAGATTGGGTTCCCGCTGTCCTCCCCACCACCCACCCACCCACCCACCCGGCAGCACCTCTTCTTTGACTTTCCTCTTTAACCAGGTTTTGATTAGGCCCTAGGGCCCTCAGGTGTTTCTTACCAGTCAGCTCCATTCTGGCCGGGCTGTCTGGTAGGAGTGGCTCCCTGGTTGGGGCCTCTCCCCTGAATCCTTCCTGGGGCCATGGAGGCGGTTTGGGCTCTGGCACTTCTTGCACAGTGGGGCACAGGTGGGCTGAGGAAGAGGGTCTGGAATCTATCCTCCAAGTGACAGGAATAATGAACATTTAATCAGGTGTCAAGGAAAAGGCTGCCTGGTGAGGGGAACAGCTGCTGGGAGGGCATGAGATGCTGACCAACCTGGCACTGCTGAAGCTCTGCTCCTGGGTCTCCTTGTGACTGCAGCATATAGTGTCTCCTCTGTTAGGGTTCCTCAGTGACTGATGTGGGGCTGTGGACAGAATATGTACACACACACACACACACACATTCATTGGCCTCAAATTCTGAGCAACCTTGGTTTTTTGGTTGGATACAATATGGGATGAGAAGAGGGAATAGGAGTATTGTGGCATAAGCCTGGAGAAGTGGTTAAAAAGCAGGATATAGAGTCAGGAGGAGGAGCTAGCAAATCTGTGTGATGTGTTGAGGGGTAGCTCGGGGAGTCGAGCTGGGGAGGAGACTTGGGCAAAAACAAAACTGGACTACTAGGGGTTGGCGATTACAAGATTATGAGAAAGTGGTATGGGAGCAATTAACCTCTCATTCTCTCTCCATTTACCCCCACCCATAAGCCTCTTGGAATTTTTCTTTGCACTCCCAGTTCTAAAATAGTGGGTTATCCAAGGCAAAGAGAGAAGCTAATAGTCCTGGAGCTTCCCACCTGAGGCAAGCTGCCTAGCAATGGGCACCTGCTGAGTGAGGCACCTCACCCACCTTACACGGCTTACCTCGCCTTGAACACCCACTGCATCCATCTCATAGCTCACATCTTCCTCCCTGCCCCCTTTGCAGACCCCTTCCAGTTCCTCACAGGACCCCCCACATGGCCTCCTCCTTCTTTGACAAGTCGTGCAAAGAGGCCTGCACCTGATTCAATATTGGGATTTCCTGTAGGTCTGTCAACATGCATGAACCCTCCTCCCACTCCTCTCTCCTTGGGTCCAGCTTCTCCCGTCCTGAGATTTAGAACCTTAAGCTAGCTAAGAATGGCAGGGTACGAATGGGGACTGGGCCTGTGTCCAGCCTGATGCTATACGTCCTAGGCCCTAAATGCACTACCTTTCTCATTTTCTCCCTGGGCACATGTTCCCTTTCCTTAGGGCCAGCCAGGACAGTGCTGTATTCCTCTAAATCTATGATCAGTCCTTCAGAACCCAGCACCCCACCCCCTACCCCTGCTCTGTCCTGCTCCTCCCATTCTGGGAAGGCTACACTCTTCTCGACAAAGGTCAGTGCCTGTAGGTTCCAGTTTGCCTGCCCCTCCCCCAGCTGGGAGCCCAATTCCTCTTTCCTGTCCTTCCTACCCTCATTTAACTCCAAACCCTGCTTGCCACTCACCGGGTGGAGAAGGGCTCCAGGACCCAGGTGCATAGCAGGCAGCACTCTGGGGATCCGATGGGTAAGAAGACACGTAGTGTTGGGGCACAGCCCCTCCACAGCAGTAGGGTCACAGGCCTGCCCCGGGACACTTCTGCCCAATCAGAGAGCAGGGAGCCACCAGATACCGGTGAAGGCTCCCGGAAGTGACGCTTCTCCTCCCACCCGCACTGAACGTGGAGCCCCTACCTGGACCATGGTCCACTAGCAGAGCCCAGCTCTTCCACCCACACACACCGCAGGGAGGATTACAACAGGGGGATCCATCTTTTTCTAGGAGATGGGAAACCTGGATGGGAGGGGAACAGGTCTTTTTTCCTAAGAGAAATCTGGCAGGACATTTTTTGTTTCTGCAGAAGAGGTACAGAGATCTGGTTCTGGTTTTAGATTGGTGGGTTTTTCAGTTCCTGATTGGCCAAATTTCTTTTTCTGGACAACACACCTGCTGCTGAGAGCCACCAGGGCTCTTGCTTTCCTGCCTTTCTCTCATATAACCCCATAGGGATCAAGTCTTATTCTCCCTTTCCCAGTGGGAATGTGAGTATTGCCTGTATTAGAAAGACCCTGTCATTGGTCAGTGTCATGGGAAAAGGGCTTGGATTCTTTGAGAGGCCTGCAGGGTGAGGGGTGCATGTTAGGGGTGGTTGGGCTGTGCTCAGGTGCCCCTCTGCAGGGGGGCCCAATGGCTCAGACAGCTAAGGCCACTTACCTCCGTGCCCGAGCTCTCCTGAGCTTGCCCTTTCTCTCTCCCTCTTCCATCTCCTACCACTCCATATGTGACAAGAGGAATAACCAGGCCCATGTGTCCCTGTCTTAGGAAAGACAGCTGCTGAACCTCCCCCGCAAATACCTCCTGCTGGCCCCCCTCTTCCTTTGGCCCTGGCTCTAGTTCCTTTGCTTTCCCCTCAGTCCCAGTCTCCTCACAGTCTCTGTCCTCAGGGGCCTCCTGGCCTGACCTTGTTCCCATCACCCCCACCCCAGTTCTTCCCCTCCTCCCAAGGATGGGGCTGTCAGCTAAGGAGTATGGCCTAGATCCCGGAATTCTCCAGTTCAGCCAGACAAGATGCCTCCCAAGATTAGGAAGGAGGGTGCTGGGGTGGTTGGGAAGCTGGTGGGCAAATGGGTGTGGGAGGGGACAGGGAGGCAGTCATGACCAGGCAACCAAGACAAAGGAGGCTGGGGGTGCGGTGGAGAGGCAGAGGGTCCCCAGGGGTGATGGGAAGAGGGAGAGAAAGGATGTCAGGCTGGGGACAATGATGGTTGGATGGGCCTGCGGACAGGTTACCAATAGGGAAAGAAATACTGGCGCAGACTGAAAGGGGACTCTTTCTGGCTAAGTCCCTGTCCTGTGGAAGAGTAGAGTGAGGAAAGATCTCAGCGAAGAGGTAGGGACACAGGCCAGCCAGTGAGTGTGGGTAGTATGGGGTTTGAGAGGTGCTGTGGGCCCACAGTAGGGGAGATCAGTTGACGGGCCTTTCCTGCACGCTGTCATCCTTAAAAGACGAGTCTTCATCCTTCCGGCAGGAACCGAGCACTAGCCCAGTGGCCGGCCCAGGCCTCAGGCCCAGCCTCTGCCCCTCCCTGGCCTGGGGCTCCCGTCTTGGGCCGGACACGCACCTCCCGGTGCAGCCGCCCTGTGGCCGCCAGCAGCGGGGGGCTCCAGACCCGCCTCTCCTCCCCGCTTCGCGCCCCCTGGTCCCTCCCCTCCCCCTACCCCCTTGGCTCCCCCTTCCCCTCCAGCCCCTCCCTCCTCCCCTGCCCCGTCCCAGCCCCTCCCTCCCCTCCCCCACTCGCGATCCGGGCCGCTGCTGCTGGGCCGGACCCCCCGGGCTCAGCCCGGCCCCTCGCCGAGCCGCCGCCGCCGCCCCGTTTGCTGAGGAGGAGGCCCCCGGCCGGGGCGCCGGGCGCGGGGCATAAAACGGGCCAGAGCCGGCGCCCAGGGCACTAGAACCGCGTACGGCCCGGGTCAGCGCCCGCCCGCCCGCGCTCCTCCCGGCCGCTCCTCCCGCCCCGCCCGGCCCGGCGCCGACTCCCGCCGCCCGACGAGCCCCTCGCCGCACTGCCCGGGCCCTGGCCCCGGCCCCCTCCCGCCGCACCGCCCCCGGCCCGGCCCTCCTCCCACCTCCCTCCTCCCTCTCCTGCTCCCTCCTCCCTCCCGCCTCCCCAGCTGTCCCGTTCGCGTCATGCCGAGCCTCCCGGCCCCGCCGGCCCCGCTGCTGCTCCTCGGGCTGCTGCTGCTCGGCTGCCGGCCGGCCCCCGGCGCCGGCCCCGAGCCCCCGGCGCTGCCCATCCGGCCCGAGAAGGAGCCGCTGCCCATTCGCGGAGCGGCAGGTAGGTGGGCGCCCCGGGGGGCGCGCGGGCAGAGAGTCCCGCTCGGGGCAAGTCCGCGCCCGCCCGGAGGGGGCGCCGGGCGCAGGTGGCTCGGCGCGGCGGGCGGCCCGGAGGGGCGGGCGGGGTCGGGAGGCGCGTCGTGCGGGGGCACCCAGGGCCCGGCCCGCGGTGCCCAGGGCGGGCACGCCGCGGGAGTGGGACAGCGGCCGCCAGCCAAGCCCGTCCCCGCAGGCTGCTCCTTCGGCGGGAAGGTCTATGCCTTGGACGAGACGTGGCACCCGGACCTGGGGGAGCCCTTCGGGGTGATGCGCTGCGTGCTGTGCGCCTGCGAGGCGGTGAGTGGATCCAACTGCCGGGGATCTGGCCGGGGCCCTGGGGGGCGGGGGAGCGCTCGGGTCCGGGATGTCGGAGTGGGCTGGCGCTGCTGAGGAGGAGGAAGCGAGCCTGCAGGTATATACACAAATATATATATTTGTGTCTATGATATATATTTTTCTTCTGGCGGAGAAAGTGGGGAGGAAGCGCCCCCTTCAAGTCTCAGGTGTTGACTGTTATTGATCACCCACTATGTGTCAGGCTCTTTGCCAGCGGTTTCCTTGGTCTCTCACTTCACTCCTAGAATAATCCTACTAATTACAGACTATTACTGTCCCCATTTTCCAGATAGGGACCTTAAGGCCCAGAGAGGTTAAGTAGTTTGTCTAGGGTCACGCCGCTTGTAAGAAGCAGAGCGGTCCTCACTCCATGGGATGACCTCGCTCTGGTCCTGTGGCCCTCCCCTGCTCGCCCTGGGTCCCACCAACTGGCGTCTTGCACTCACTCGCTTTTCCCATCTTCCCCGCGAGCAGCCTCAGTGGGGTCGCCGCGCCAGGGGCCCGGGCAGGGTCAGCTGCAAGAACATCAAACCCGAGTGCCCAACCCTGGCCTGCGTGCAGCCGCGTCAGCTGCCGGGACACTGCTGCCAGACCTGCCCCCAGGGTAAGACCCGCTCGCAGTGAGGGGAGGACCGCAGGGCAGTGATACTTGGTCCTGCGCCACGCGGCTGGGGCGGACGGAGCAGATGGAACCGCCAGCTGGCTCTCCGGGTGCCCAGCCGAAGCCCGTGTTTCCCTTTTGCCCGGCTTAGAGCGCAGCGGTGCCGAGAGGCAGCCGACGGGCCTGGCCTTCGAGTATCCGCGGGACCCAGAGCACCGCAGCTACAGTGACCGCGGGGAGCCGGGCTCCGAGGATCGGTCACGTGGAGATGGCTACACGGGTAGGCAGGGGCCAGGCAGCAGCTGGATTCGTGGTTGCGGCCCGGGCTGCCTGCTGCAGTGGGTGACGGTACTCGGGACATCTTTTCCTCGCAGACTTCGTGGCGCTGCTGACGGGGCCGAGGTCGCAGGCCGTGGCTCGGGCCCGAGTCTCTCTGCTGCGCTCTAGCTTGCGTTTCTCCATCTCCTACAGGCTGTGAGAAAGGGGAAGGTGGGAGGAGGGGTCAGCTGGGGACTGGGGAAGGAGAGTCGGGAGAGGCTGATGGAGCTGCTCCTGGACTAGGCTCAGAGCCCATGCTCACACGACCTTCATTCCCAGGCTGGACCGCCCTACTCGAATCCGCTTCTCAGACTCTGCTGGCAGCGTCCTGTTTGAACACCCTGCAGCCCCCACTCAAGATGGCCTGGTGAGATGATGCCATTTATGAGTGCTTATCCGGTCTGGGCATTGTACTGAGAGTGTGTTCTGCATTGCTTCCTTTGGTCCTCACAACAGCCCAGTGAGAGGAAGGCACTGACATTATGATGCCCGTTTTACAGATGAGGGAACTGAGGCTCAGTAGCAGAATGTGATTTGCTCAAGGTCACACAGCTAGTAAGTGGTTGAGCCAGGATTTGGACCCCAGCATCTGGTTCCAAGGCCCCTTCTTGAGCTTCCTAGGAGGGCTTGGGGGCCCCTTCCCATAGTCCTTCCTCACCACAGCTGGGCCTCCCTGCTGGCCCATGTTGCATGCTGTCTAAGTAGGGCCTTCCTGTCTCTCTGCTCCAGGTCTGTGGGGTGTGGCGGGCAGTGCCTCGGTTGTCTCTGCGGCTCCTTAGGGCTGAACAGCTGCACGTGGCACTTGTGACACCCACTCACCCTTCAGGGGAGGTCTGGGGGCCTCTCATCCGACACCGGGCCCTGGCTGCAGGTGAGGGGAGCACATGGGTCCCTGGGTGTGAAGTTCTGAGTCTTCTCTATCCCCAGGAATGGAGTGGGCTGAGGAGGGGACTTTCTGATGGGCTCTCCTGGTCCTCCCTCCCCCAGAGACCTTCAGTGCCATCCTGACCCTAGAAGGCCCCCCCCAGCCTGGCATGGGGGGCATTGCCCTACTCACTCTCAGTGACACAGAGGACTCCTTGCATTTTTTGTTGCTCTTCCGTGGACTGCTGGAATCCAGGAGTGGGGGTAAGTGGGATGGGGCAGGTGTGAGGAAAGTAAGGAGAGCACCTCTCTCTGAGGCATCCACATGTGTGGCCATTGCAGGACCAACCCAGGTTCCCTTGCGACTCCAGATTCTACACCAGGGTCAGCTACTGCGAGAGCTGCAGGCCAATGCCTCAGTCCAGGTGAGTGAGGGGCTGGCTCTTGCTGCCCCCTGCTCTGGCCTCTTGCTGCACCCACCATACCTTGCTCTGTCTCCAGGAGCCAGGCTTTGCTGAGGTCCTGCCCAACCTGACAGCCCAGGAGATGGACTGGCTGGTGCTGGGGGAGCTACAGATGGCCCTAGAGAGGGCAGGTGGGCCAGGGCTGCGCATCAGTGGACACATTGCTGCCAGGCAGAGCTGTGATGGTGAGGCAGGGTGGGGCCTGGCACCCTGGGCACACACAACCGAGAGGCACAGACAAGTGGCCAGGGTGGGTATGGGAGGAATCCTGGGGGCCTGGGGTATGAATGGCTGTGAGGCAAGTCCACTGCCACCTTTCTGTCCCTCTGCAGTCCTGCAAAGTGTCCTTTGTGGGGCTGATGCCCTGGTTCCAGTTCAGACGGGTGCAGCCGGCTCAGCCAGCCTCACACTGCTAGGAAATGGCTCCCTGATCTACCAGGTAAGAGTCAGGGGCTGAAGAAGGGAGAGGGCAGCAGGATAGGGTGGGGCTTTGGCCTGCAGGGTTCAGGCCTCAGGCCTTCTCTATCACTCCAATTTGCCCTCTCCAACCCTGCCCACCAGGTGCAAGTGGTAGGTACAGGCAGTGAGGTGGTGGCCATGACGCTGGAGACCAAGCCTCAGAGGAGACACCAGCGTACTGTCCTGTGCCACATGGCTGGACTCCAGCCGGGAGGACACATGGTGAGTGCTTCAGGCAGAGCCAGGCCCCAGGGCCCGTGCACCAGAGCTAATAACAATGCAGGGGTGTGGAAAGCCACGTTGGACAAGCAGAGCTGTTGAGAATCATTCACTCACTACCAGGTTCTTTCACTGGCACATTGATTTCCTGGACACATTTTTGGTGAGCCTCAGGCTAGGGACTGGAATACGAAGAAAAGCAGATGTGCCCCTGTCCTCAGCAACCGTACATCAAATGGAGGAGGGAGTTGAACAGGGAGACCACATAACTATAAATGTGTCAGCAACAAGTGCCACTTACTGAGCCTTTCTATGTGCTACATACTGTACCGATTGCCTTTCTCATATTATTTTTGGCCTTCATGGTTTCTGTTTTTTTTTAAATATTTTATTTATTTATTCATGAGAGACACACAGAGAGAAGCAGAGACATAGGCAAAGGAAGAAGCAGGTTCCCTCCAGGGAGCCTGATGTGGGATTTCATCCCAGGACCCGGGGATCACGACCCAAGGCAAAGGCAGATGCTCAACCACTGAGCCACCCAGGCGCCCCATGGTTCCCATTTTATAGATGATGAAGTGAAGGATCAGAGAGGTTAAGACTGTTACATAGGTAGGAAGTGGCAGAGGAGGGACTTGACCTGGGCTTGTGAGGTTCTTGCTCAGTTATGCATGTGTGCTTTGGGCGTAATGAGTGCACAAAGCATGGAAAGGCATTCAGAATCTTGAGCTTGTGGGAAAGCAGAGGAGGGTTCAACTGGAATCTAGCAGGCTGCAGCCAGGGCTCATCCTTCCCTGCCCTCCCCTCCCTAGGCTGTGGGTGTCTGCCCTGAACTGGGTGCCCGAGGGGCTCACATGCTGCTGCAGAATGAGCTGTTCCTGAACGTGGGCACCAAGGACTTTCCAGATGGAGAACTGCGGGGGCATGTGGCTGCCCTGCCGTACAGTGGACACAGTGCACGCCATGATAGTGAGTGCCCCGGGGGGTTGCCTGCACTCCGGTGTCCTCTAATCTGTGACTCAAGCATGGGAGGAATGGGGCCAGGGGGCCAGGGCCTGGTGTGTCTTTCTCTGTGCCTGAGCTCCAGGTTGGCATCTGGGGACCCATCTGGGGATGTATAGCCTGGCCCTGCTGGGAGACTCTGATTCCATGGTACAGGAGTCTAAAACTTGCTGCCCCCCAGGCCTGGGCCTATGGACAGTGTCTGCCTGTCTGTGGAATGCGTGTTGGGGGAGATGGGGAATACCGGGATGAAGGGAGTGGCTGCTCTAGGCCACCTCCTCAGCTGTCGCCTCTCCTCTGTCTGGATCCAGCACTGCCCGTGCCCCTGGCAGGAGCCTTGGTGTTACCCCCTGTGCAGAGCCAGGCAGCAGGACATGCCTGGCTCTCCCTGGACACTCACTGTCACCTGCATTATGAAGTGTTGCTGGCTGGGCTTGGTGGCTCAGAACAGGGCACTGTCACTGCCCACCTCCTCGGGCCTCCTGGGATGCCAGGGCCCCGGCGGCTGCTGAAGGGATTCTATGGCCCAGAGGTGAGGACGTGTTGGTGGAGGCAGCTTGGGAAAGATCTGCTTGTTAGCATGAAGAGCTGTGCAGGCCTGTGGTGGGGGAAGCAGAGAGCCGGTAGCCTGGCACGGCACAGCTGACACGGGCTCGGGAGTCAGGCCACCTGGCTATGAATCTGACCCAGCCTCCTAGTATCCATCCTCCTTTCCTGCATTCCTGTCTGACGGGCTCTCTTGGATAGTATGTGATGTCCTAGACCTACAGAGGAGTGGGTGGGATGAAGCAAGCCTCCTCAGATGGGGTGGGCTACCAGACTCGGAAGTCAGAGAGACCTGACACCACGGCTAGTGGGCTTCAATTCCCTGAAGACTTTATTTAACCTTCCCATGTCTCAGTTTCTCGGCTGTGAATTGAGAATGGTGGGCACAGCCCTAGAACGCCTTGTTTCAACCCCTTATCCTGTCTCATACAGGCCCAGGGCGTGGTCAAGGACCTGGAGCCAGAGCTGCTGCGGCACCTGGCACAGGGCACTGCCTCCCTCCTGATCACCACCAAGGGGAGCCCCCAAGGGGAGCTCCGCGGGCAGGTAGGCAGGCGGTGTGGCCCGCTGGGGGTGGTTCAGAGTCGGGCTGGGTGCTCTTGCCCGAGTCACTCGCTCTCTCTGAGCCTTGGGAGTGGTAGTATCACATTCCCTGGCTGGTTGGGAGCATGAGGCCAGAGAAGGTTCATGACCAGGCTGGCAGCAGAGCATCCTGTCACTGGTTGTTGGGGGTGATTGCTGCTGCTATTAGCATCTTCCCCGGTGTGGGGGTGCTCAGAGGTCGAGGTGTTTCCGGCAGGCGGGCTGGCCGTGGCTGGTGGAGACGCAAGGGGGAGCCCGGGCGCTGCCTCAACCCGCCTCTCCTCCCAGGTGCACATCGCCAACCAGTGCGAGGTGGGCGGCCTGCGCCTGGCGGCGGCGGGGGCCGAGGGAGCGTGGACGCCCGGGTCTCCGGATGCAGCGGCCGCTGCGCTGCCTGCGGTGCCCGCTGTGCTCGGCCCCGACGCCCCCGCCCCCGCCCCCGCCAAACCCGGCGGCCCCGGGCGGCCCCGAGACCCCAACACCTGCTTCTTCGAGGGGCAGCAGCGCCCCCATGGGGCCCGCTGGGCGCCTAACTATGACCCGCTCTGTTCGCTCTGCACCTGCCAGGTAGGGCTCTGCTGGTGGAAGGGCGCACTGAAGTCTGGGTTTGGGGCAAGGGTCCCAGTCAACCCCCCAGCCCCCACCTCTCTTTGCAGAAGCGCACGGTGATTTGTGATCCGGTGGTGTGCCCGCCACCCAGCTGTCCCACCCCCGTGCAGGCACCGGACCAGTGCTGCCCTGTGTGCCCAGGTGAGGGTCCTGCCTGAGTACAGGGTGTAGTGGAAGGTCCACCGTGTAGCATGAAGTCTCTAGGGAGGGAAGGGGGGTGGTCTTCCTCTGCCTTCACTCTTTCTTTGGGTCCACAGAGAAACAAGATGTCAGAGACCTGCCAGGGCTGTCACGGACCAGAGACCCTGGAGAGGGTGAGCTGGAAGTCTGCGAGCAAGGGTGGGGAATCCAGGGGAGCTGTTGGGTGGGACCAGGAAAGGAACAAAAGGGTGAGACTATATATGGGGAGAGGGGAGAGGGAGGCTGAGGGGCACAGATTCCGAATGACATGTTAGGCTTCATTTGAGTCACTGGTCCACAAATGGGCCCTGGGGTTAAACTAGTGTGGGGTTGTCCTGAGACTCCAGCCCTGATTGTGGGCCCAGCCAATGAGCTCAGTACTCATGGCAGCTGGGCACTGTCCCCCCCACCCCCCAGGCTGCTATTTTGATGGTGACCGGAGCTGGCGGGCAGCGGGTACCCGGTGGCACCCCGTCGTGCCCCCATTTGGCTTAATTAAGTGTGCTGTCTGCACCTGCAAGGTATGGCTGCCCAATCCTCTCTGGTACCATAACCCAGCAGGGTCCGCAGAAATGGGGAGGGGGCTGCCAGAAGAGGAGAGCCCAGCCTTGGTGCGGAAGGCTCAAGGATGAGAACACTGTGAAAAGTCCTTTGAGCTTTGAGAGTCAGCTTCCTGCAGGAAAAGGGAAGGGCTGACGTGGGTGTGATTTCTGGCTTTGCTCGCTGACTCGCTCCATATAGCCCTGGCATTTTCTGTTGCTCCCCGAACTTCCCTTTCCACTCCTATAAGCAGATAGGAGTGCATCTACATTGCAGGGCTACCATGAGCATTTGAGTTCAGGTATATAAAGCACCAGTCCAGGGCCTCTGAGTGAAAGGTCATTGAAATATGACATTTGAGGGATGGAAAAGGAAAGGGAGGTTGCAGGAGGCTCCCCTTCCTTTCTGACACCCTCCTTCAATGGATCCCTGCAGGGGGGCACTGGAGAGGTGCACTGTGAGAAGGTGCACTGTCCTCGGCTGGCCTGTGCCCAGCCCATCCGTGCCAACCCCACCGACTGCTGCAAACAGTGTCCAGGTGAGGGGGGTGGGCACTGAGGCTTCTTGGGGCAGATGAGGTGCCCCATTGCCTTGTCCTGGGTGAGGGGATGTGTGGTGAGGGTGGACGGAAGGGAATTCTCAGTTCATTCAGCGTTCACTGAGCATCGTTCCGTGCCTAGCCTGCATTTGGAAAGAAGGTGCATGTATTTATTAGAGGGCTATAATGGGTTCCAGTTTCTGCCCTTTCCATCTATCCCCCCTCTCTCCCTGCCTTACTTCAATCCAACCATCCAACTATTCATCCACCCATCCGTCCGTCCGTCCACCCGTCCATCCATCCTCTCATCTAAACGTGTCACCTACTAAGTGGCAGAAACTGCTAGGTGTTGGAGATTCAAAGACAAAACCCTGGTGTCCCTCACAGGACTCACATCTGCTGAACTCTTCCTCCCTCCCCCCCCCACCCCAACAGTGGGGTCAGGAGCCCACCCCCAGTTGGGGGACCCCATGCAGGCCGATGGGCCCCGGGGCTGCCGTTTTGCAGGGCAGTGGTTCCCAGAGAGCCAGAGCTGGCACCCCTCGGTGCCTCCCTTTGGGGAGATGAGCTGTATCACCTGCAGATGCGGGGTAAGTGGGGAGTGTGCTTTGTGTGAGGTGGGTATTGGGGGCCTGGCCCAGAATGGGGAGACCTTTCCAGGGAGGGCAGGCTCCTGGGAGAGGGCTTCCCTGAAGGGGCTGAAGACTGCTGTGTCCCTGTGCCTGTGGGTACCCTCAAAATCTGCTCTGTCCTGCACCAGGCAGGAGTGCCCCACTGTGAGCGGGATGACTGTTCACTGCCACTGTCCTGCGGCCCAGGGAAGGAGAGTCGCTGCTGCTCCCACTGTGCATCTCGGCGGGGTAAGTGAGGGGGCTGTCGGTGGGTGCCTGGGGAGGGAAGGCAGCACCCGCTGCCTGCCAGGAGCCATGCCATCTGCTTCACGAGTGCCATTCCATTCCACCACATAGCAGCCTTGTAGACTTGGTACCGATTGCTTTTGCTTTACAAATGAGATTTCTGAAGCTCAGAGGAGTTAGGCAGCTAGACTAAGGTCACGTGGCTCCAAAATTGACTCCCTTCTGCCTCCAGCAGCCCCAGAGACCAGGACAGTTCCAGAGCTGGAGAAAGAAGCTGAAGGCTCCTAGGGAGCCTCCAGAAGACCACATGACCAAGAGGATGGGGCCTGGGCTGGGGGAAGGAGTGGCGCCAAGGACCCTGCATTCTCCTGTGGGAAACCCAGTGCCTTTGGCTCCTCTTTTCTGCCTCTTCTCCCTTCCCCCACTACCTCTGGGAACCACAACTCCACAAGGGGAAGGGGCAGCCAGGGCAGACCAAGGCCATGGCCACTCCGGCTCCTGCCCCGTCACCCTCCAGCCTCTGCCCTGGAAGCCCAACCCCTTTCTTTCTGTACATAATGTCACTGGCTTGTTGGGATTTTTAATTTATCCTCACTCAGCACCAAGGGTCCCCCCCACTTCACTCCTGCTGCCCCTGAGCTGAGCAGAGTCATTATTGGAGATTTTTGTATTTATTAAAACTTTTTTTTTTTCAGTCTCGGTGCTAAAAGTTGTCTTTGTGACCAGGGACCTGAGTGGGCCCCAGTGGAGAAGGTCTGAGAGTGGAGCCCTGGCTCTAGGGCCTTTTCTCTCTGAGCCTTGGGGAGCATGCAAAGACCAGGAGAGGGAGGGGGCAGCACGGTTGTTGTTTTCTTCTGGGATTCCGCAGTGGGGCCTGAGACTGTCCCTGAGATGGGCCAGAGCCTGAAGAACTCAGGCAGGACGAAGCAAGTGTGGTTTCCACTGGCCTATGCATGGCTGGCATTCTGCTGACTCCGTGTTTGAAGTGGTTCCAAAGAGAGAAACAAAAGTGCCCCCAGCCTCTTATCTTCTTCTGTCTCAAGTGAGGCAACCACATCTCTGTTATTCTTTTCTGGAAATGAATTGTGTTCTGGACCAGTTCTGGGGGCAAATCTGGATCAGAGTGGACTTGGCCCTTGCCCAGTTCTTGGCTGAGCTTATCTTGGGACCAAGTGATGTATGGCATAAGATAGGACCTCTCCCTACACCCCACCCCCCTTCCTGCCAGCAGCAACTGAGCATGCCCAGAGCTCAGGGGCATGAGGGAAAAGAGTGGCAGGATAGCAAGCTAGCAATATATGTACCTGCAGATCTATCTTCTGTATAAACAGTATGGGATTAAGTGAATATGGAATTTTATGACCTAGTCGAGTACCAGGAAAGGGCAATCATAGCCTTCTTGTTTAGGGTGAAGCATGCCATGCGTGCTTAAGAAATTATTGTCTTGGCCCCTGGAAGCTCCAGTTCCACTGTTAACTAGCTGAGGTATTTAACCTTCAGGAGTCTCTGTTTCCTTTCTGTAAAACTAGTATTTCCCTCACAAGATTTGATCAGAACATGTGACTCCCATAGCTCTGTGCCTGGCACACATTAGTCAGAAAGGCACTCTGACTGGGGTAGGATTCCAGGAGCTGGTTTGAAAGGGAAGGCAGGGAGAAGTCTGAGGAAGAGTGTGGCCAAGGGTTTCAATGATGTGATATGCTGCTGAATGGCCAGGGGGAGTAGGGAAGGCTGGCTGGAGATGAAGGGAGGATAGGATGAGGGAAACTGGACTTGGCCCAGAGCCCTGGTTGTCAGCCAGGGGGATCGTGAAGGTCAGATAGGGAAGACAGCAGCAGGGTTGGCATGGGGTGAAACACAGGGAACAAAGTACAGGGCCAGGTGTGGTGAGATGGAGGATGTGGCCCAGAAATGCCTGTGCTGATGATATTGTCCTCCCTGGCGAGGGAGTTTCGAGGGAAGAAGGGTTGAAAAGAAAATTTTGATCCTTCAATTTAACATGAGTTTGGTACTGATGCTCACAAGACGGGAGGAAGGGCAGAGCCAATGAGCATCCACAGGGTGGCTCAACGGTCTTGCCCCAGGGATCCTGCCCCATGGGATGGGACCCATTAGGGCTTCAGAGCAGGGTCAGGGGATGTCAGCCGAGTGCCCAGGCGGAGCAGTGTTCTCCTCAGACAACAGTCCCTGAAACAGCTCTCCCATCATAGCCCGCATTCCCACTGTGGCTGGCTAGTCCCCAAGGCCATGCCGAGCCCCAGGGAGGTGGCGTGGTGGTGACCACGGAAGTCCAGCCGGCACAGCGAGGAGGAGCTCGGCCGACAGACTGGAAGCCCTGACCTGCAGAGACCTCAAGAGGGCACCCCAGCCATTCCCCTCTAGGCGAATGCACAGACTCAGAGGGCCCTTTCCTTTCTACCACTACCACCTGAGTAGAAGCCCATTTTCCTGGGTAGAGTAGGTCAGTGTTTCAGAACAGTTGCTGGTGGGATTTAAAGTTTGATCTCTAACTGCGTCAGTCAGGCCTTCTACTTGGCAAAGGGTTTGACAGGGCCTCAGGGCTAAAAAGAGATGGGAGGTAGTACACAGGGGCTCTCTCTGGCCTGAGGAGGAATGGAGGTGGCTCTGACATATCTGTTTTTGTGAGGAGAAGGCTCCTTCATGTATAGCCTTCCACTTTGCCACTTTTGACTTGTGAATGGTGGCTTATGAGGGCTGCAGTGACATCATTTGCCGGCTTTCATGCATCACATCCAGATTCCCGTGTCAGGTGAGGAACAGCCACTTGGAGCTATCGCATGGTGGCGCTGCTGGCAGCCACCCATTGGTCCTCAATTGGGCCAAGCCTCCAAGCAGTGTCTGTGCAGGTATTTGAATACTTGATGGTGATGGCTTAGGAACGTGGTTTTCAAACCCTGCCAGTGGGCGTGTGAAGGCACCTCCCTCTGGGCACAGGGAGCAGTGGGGCTGGGAGGGCAGGGCAGCCCAGGTGCCTCCTGGGAGTAGGGAGTCCAGACCCTACTCTCCTTCTGTTTGGGCGCCACTTCTGCAAAAACCTGCATTCCAGAGAAGAACTGGTTGCCTTCAAAAAAGTTTCAGAACAACTGTTTTATTGCATTTGCATTCCACCTCTTTTTTACAAAAAATAATGGGAAATAGAAAAAATGTGACTCTTCTGACACAACGGAAGTAGCAGAGGGGGAGGTTTCATGAAGGAATAAAGTGGGCATGTGGAGGTGGTCTGCAAAGGACACATTTTAGCTCATCATATTCTAGGTAGTCAGAGACAATTGGGAAGGACAAAAGCAAAAAGAATGTGTATGGAATACTGGAAATACATCGCTAAAGACGACAGAAGTATTGTACACCTGAAGGTGATATAATATCATGTGCAGTTAGAATTCAATTAAAAAAGAACACAACAGGGGGGATCCCTGGGTGGCGCAGCGGTTTGGCACCTGCCTTTGACCCAGGGCGTGATCCTGGAGACCTGGGATCGAATCCCACGTCGGGCTCCCAGTGCATGGAGCCTGCTTCTCCCTCTGCCTGTGTCTCTACCTCTCTCTCTCTCTCTCTCTCTCTCTCTCTCTGTGTGTGTGCCTATTATAAATAAATAAAAATTAAAAAAAAAAGAACACAACAAACGGGGGAGGAATTCTTAGGGATTGTGTGATGATTACGCTCTGAGAATGGAGCCACCCCCTTATAACAGTGTTGGCCTTTGATATATGCATTCATGGACAAAAGGAGTTGCCAGGTTGCTCTTCCTCATTACAGAAGTAAGTCATTGTGAACAATGATGGTAAGACACAAATGTGTGAGTAAGAAAGATAAGGTCACCTGCCAGCAAGAAAGAATCCCAACCACTCCAATTCTTTAAAAATCCCTGGGAGGGAGGAAAATCACTGGGTATTTTTCTAAGTTTTAGTTTGCCCTGCCTCCTCTCTGGGTCCTGTCCCTGCAGCACAGCACGTCTGTCCCCACTTGTGAAGTAAGTGATGGCTGTCCTTGACCCAGTGGAGAGTATTTGCATGATGACCTCTGGAGCTGGAATACAAGGTGCTCAAATAGGGAAACCAGGAGATTGCATTTAAGGGAAGTCTGATCCTTTGCATTTAAAATGCTAGGGGAGGCAAAACCCCGGAAATTTTGAAAAAGTCCTCACCAACTCAGAGAACTTGGTAAGTTGGCATTGAGTGATTTGATCTTCAGCAAACTGATTAGAGCCCCTGAGTGGGGTCCAGCTCCTCAGCTCACGGGTCCTGGGTGGGACAGAAGTCTATCCCATCCTCATGTGGGCAGCAGAGGTTGGCCAATTGAGGTGTCTCTTGACCGGCCAGGGCCCCAGCTGTCCCTTGGGAGGAGTCATTCACCATGTTTTCTTGTTCTCCTGCCTTGGCTGGGCTGGCTCCTTGGCTGAGACATAGCCTCTTCCTCTTTTGGAGTCCCCCATGCCTGGCTGAGTTCCTCATCCTACCACAGGGACAGAGACTCCTCACTATCTAGTTGTATGGTGGGACAAGAAGGGGGATGGGGGAAGTAGCAGGTGACAGTGGAGGAGGAGCTGCTAATGAGCACCCCATTGGGTCTTTCTCCATTCACATGGGGGCAGAGGCTGCTGTCTCCATTCAGCACAGGTACTAGGAAGACGGCTCTGCCATGGACAAGTTCTTTCAGCTCAATGGCTGGTGGACCAGATACGCCTGGCATGGCTGCTGAAGCAATGCATGAGACTGGCTCAGGAAGACTGTGACTTTCTATTCTGGTGGCAAGGGCACCCTGGGAGCTACCTGCTACTGCTGCTCTTCCTGGTGGGCCTGGGTAACCCTGGTGTTTACTCTAGAGACTTGGGTCCTGACTAGCTCTCACTCTGAGAGGAGATGAAAGAAAGTGAGAGGGAAGCAGGGGCAAGCTTGTGTCTTTTCAGGTGGTTTTGGGGAGTGTTGGCATGTGAATGCATGTGTGTGCAAACACACACACACCCATCTAAAATGTGTTATATGTGAGAGTGTGAAGCATCCACACTGCATTTCTCACTTACATCTGTGTTTGTTTGATCATGGAGTTTTCAGTTGCCTTTAATTTCTGATTCTTTCTTCCTTACATGAATCTAAAGGAGCAAGGAACTTGTTCTTTAAAACCCAAACCTTCTGTAGTCCTTTCTGCTTGCTAAGTGGGTAGCAGTAGAAGCCTCTTTTTTATACTGATCTAGAGAGGGAGTCAGGGTGGGGGATGGTAAGCAGAAAGAAGAGTCTACAGAGAAAGGTGGCCAAGGAGAAACATCCCATGGAGAAGGAGCAGAAGGCCTTTAATTATGTACTCTTTCTTACAAGTAATCAATTTACTCACTTTTAAATAGCTACTAATTGCATGCAAAAAGCATAAAATGATTCCTAGGGAATAGTTTCTTCCTACCCATCCTCATTCCCCAGGCAACCTGGTTCCCTCCCCAGAGCCCTACTGCTACCTATTTCTTGCGTATGAGGAAATCTTTTAAGAACACAGCTGTGTAAGATCCAAGTTTCAGTTGTTTGCATTATTGTGATGCAGACTGGTGCTTTTCAAACTTTCATGTGCATGTGAATCATCCGGGGCTATCATTTAAGTGCAGATTCTGATTCAGCAGGGCTGGCATGAAGCCTGGGACTTAGCCTTGCTGACAAACTCCTAAACCA